GGGCTCTTTTTCAAAAGATCCTATAAACATGAGATTTTCAGGATCTTTTGAAAAAGCACCCCATTTTCAAAAGAACCGCGTCAAGACTGCGGTTTCAATTTCGAAATAGCACTTTTTCGAAAGAGCACCATGATGTGATTATGCAAATGAAGCACAGGATATTTAAATCCCGGCTTCATTTGCACTTTTGAAGTACTTCATTTTTTCAAAGTACTGCACTTTTGAAGTATTGCCGACAGAGGGATGTAGTCTAGACACACCATGTATGGCAATTGTCATCAAATGCTCACTCTTTAATAACAATCCCTGAATGTGTATATGCCAGTCTATCTTCTCTCCCTATGAAGATGAGTTCAGGGCTGGGGTTGACTATGAACTTCCTCAGCAACATAAACTAGAACACAACATTGTTCTTAAATAAATTAATAACTGATTTGTTTTCCTTTTCTCCTCCCCTATGTTTTCTTTTGCAGCATATACCCTGGATAATGTCAATCTACAGGGCTATTTTGTCTATTCTTTCAGTGACAGGACTGCTCCCAAATATGGGCTCTATCGTTACATTGCTAATCAGTATGAGCCGAAGCCTTCCATGAAGCATTACAGAAAAATAATTGACAATAATGGTTTTCCCAGTTCAGAAACTCCGGATCAGCTGTGTCCAGAAATGCTTGTTTTGTGTCCTGAATGCAACCTTTTTCAAACCAGAAAATCTTTATTTGCTTTTATATCTTTTATATTTTTTGCCTTTATTGTTACTGTATTCTTTATTATTTACTATGCTAAGAGAGTTGAAAGAAGGTATAAATAGTGCTGCTGCTTTGCACACAGCACACTCTTCTCTATCTGCATTCCCTGGGGAATTCTGAAATAGTGGCGCACAAAATTGTAATCACTTCAGCCATTTACACTGCATCAGTGCTTTTTTTGTTATAAAAAAAAAAAAAAAAAAAAGTGCCAGTACTCCAGGGGAAAAGTTGTTAGCTCTGACTGCAGGTGCCACTTCTGTGTCTGGAGGTGTTGGTACAGTGTACCAGGCAGTACCATCACAAAAAAAGCACTGCACTGCATAATACTGTGAAGCACTGAAGTTGAAAATTTATTGTGAACATAGGGACCTAAAATCCTTTCTTGTGTTTTAATACTTTTGGTTTATGACAGGTCCTTAAATTTGACTACAACAATCACCTCAGAAATTTTATCGGGCCCTTTATTTGAGCAGGGTTTATTTTTTCCATTTGAACAAGTGTGTTTTTTTTAAAAAAGGCCACAATTAGCCTGATGATAGAGACTCAACCAAAGGTATTAACTTATATGGGTGTTTTTTTTAAGACATAGCATAGTGGAAAAATCTAGATCCAGAATTCCCAGGGTCAAAGATTAATGAGTTTCCTTTGTTTCTATCTTCCCAAACCAGGTGTTACAGCACCCGATACAAAACAAACACATGATTTAAATGATCAGGGAAGTAGACTCAGCAACTGTATGTTCGAAAAGGGAAAGGAGACTCTTCTTACTGAGGAAATCAGGATGTTTTCACCTGCTGGGATGGTTTCTTTGGGTCAGTGGTCCCCAACCTTTTG